AACTCCTTCATATGCCTATCATCGATTACTTGGCTTCAATACAATAAGTGCCATAATTGTTGGTATAAAGGGATCCTCCTCAAGACCACACGCATCTATCCTTCCTTCCTGACAAAGAATCATCAATTTTTTTCACTCTTTATCTCTTCCATTTTTTTGGTTTTAAGACAATCATCAAAAGGGGGTGATTCAGAGGTGGCATCCCTAAAATTCCCTTCGAGGCTGAGTTGGAGTCGACAGAGGCCATTGTTGGTGGCACGCCAGATTGTGCTACTAAATGTGGTTGTACAGAGGATTTTCCCATGGAGCAATTGGTGAATTAGGCACTATTTTGGTTGCTCTCTAAGCCTGACTATGCAAGGGGACCATCATGACTTCCATTTGGGTCTCCAAAATGTCAAATATGAGTCACGGTGCAGTAAGCTAGGGTCAGTCATGTTTTTGTGCTATAGATTTCGACTCCATCCTATATTCAGCCAATCATGTCTCACTTGTAGTTCGTAGTCCTGCTATAGATTCTACGTCCAGTTTTCTACACACTACGCCAACAAAATTACTTTCACACGACTCTTAATCTTATTCAGTGGAGCAAAGTGTGCGCCAAACACTAATGCAATTTGGTTACTTAAAAACTAGGTTGGGGATATCTCCTTGGTTTGATCTTTAGCGTGGGAATGATTAGATTAGAAGAAATGATATTACAAGTAGGTATGTAAATTTGGCTGGCCAGCAGGGTGGCCTCGGAGGAGCAGAGCCGGCCCATGTTACAGGCCAATTTAGCTCGAGCCTTAAAAAAATAAAATAAAATAAAAAATAAATGCCAACAAGTAACATTAACAAAATTAAAAACTAGCTTAAAAGGCAATAGCTACGTGTTTAAGGTAGCTTCAATACTGCCTTAAACATGCAGCAATTATGGTTGAGGCAGATGAGATTTGAAAATTCAAAATTCAAATTTGAATTTCAAATTTAGTTGAAACGGTTAATTTTTTTTTTTTCTATAATTATGAGTTAAATTTTTTAGTTTCATGTCAATATTCTTCAATCGGATTTAACTTGTAGTATTCTAGTTTCAACTTCATTATCAATTTCTTTTCTCTAAGAGTGTGTTTGATTGGCATGGAAAATATCACCTAGAAAAGAAAATATTTTCCATCTTTTATGGAAAATAAAAATCACCTCTACCCAAGGAAAATGTTTTCCTTAAAAACAAGGAAAATTAGGCATATTTTCAAAAGTTGGAAAATGTTTTCCATGGAAAAAATAGTAATCAAACACTTCGGGTGCGTTTGATTACAAGTAGGAAAATTACATGGAAAGAAAATGAATTACAGGGAATTGAATTACTTAGAAATTGTTTTCATGGAAATTGTAAATTATTGTGTTTGATTGTATAAATTTTTCACGTGGAAAATTTATACAATCAAAAGTATTTTTTGATATTCGTTTGACTTTGTTTTACGTGAAAATTGTCAATTTCAGGGATATCCTCTTTTACAATTATTCCTAAAATTTGTTCCCATTGCCAACAATTAAAAAAAAATAAAAAAAGCAAAAAAAATAAAATAAAAAAAGGTGGAAAACCAAAAACCACCTATCCCCTAGGAAAAAAAGGTGGAAAATCACGCTTTAAGGTGTTGTACCTAGAAATTCATGGAAAATCAATTCCCTGGAAAATTTTGTCAATCAAACAGGCCAAAAGTGGAAGTTGGAATTCGAATTCCAAGTTCCATGGAAAATTTCGTGCAATCAAACGGGGCCTTCAAGTAGAAATTTGGGTAGAAAACTGATATTTTCCATGGAAAATAAATGTAATCAAACACACCCTAATATTTAATTTCTTTTACTCTAACATTTAGTATCTTTTGTTATAATAACCATAGAATATAGATGGATTTTACTTAGGGGTGGGCGCGGGTCAGCCGAACCAAAATTTTCGGGTATCTAGTAAATGGAACCGTCGGGTCCAAATATAATTATGGAACCATTCGGGTTCGGTTCTATTCGGTTCTGTACTATAATTAAATTTTTTAACATTTACACCAATATTATATAAATACAACTAGTGATACATTCAATGGTTTTGGAATGCCATGGACTAGTAGACTACCTTGTTCAAATGATCGTTACGATCAAAGTTTCGGTCGGCGGAGGTCACAGTTTCGATCAGAGGTCACAGCATCGACCGACGATTATATAGGTTTTGAAATGTCAACGAGGCTGCGAGAGTGAGTGCGAGAGTCGAGACAACGTTATCCACTTTTGTGTAGGTGTTTAGAGTTATTTAGTGAATTTGATCTTGTTGGACTAAGAAATGAAACAATAAAATGGGTAATGGGGCCAAAAATTAAAAAATTAGAAATGAAACAAATTATTGGGCCAAAAATTTGGATTTAGAAATTGTTAATTTGTTAATTTGTTTAGAAAAAATTAAAATTAAAATAATTTGATTTACTCAATATAAAAAAATTAGAAAGATTCGGTTCTTATTTGGTTCTTGGCCTAGAACCGAGAATCGAATCGTACCCGTCGGTTCTCAATTCAGATACCGGTTCCAGTATTTAATTTGACAAGAACCGTCGGGTTCGGTTCAGTTCTGTTCGGTCGGTTCGGTTTAGGAAATTTGCTCAGCCCTAATTTTACTAGTGATGAGATTATTTAGTTTAAGGGTAGTTCGAGTGCTCTAACTGACTACGATACATCTCAAAATGTTTCAATTGATTTGGAGGATATTGAAGAGGAACAAGTACTTGAGACTACTAAAAAGTCGAAAAAAGAATCCTCAAATTGTTAACAACATATAACATGTAAAAAGTTGCTGTTCAAAATGTAGTTGATATTTGAAAAGTATGTTGCAACATATGACATGTAAAAGTTGCTTTTCAAGTACAATGTATTTGAATAGGCACGTATTAAGGAGTTGTAAAGTGAAACCAGTTAGTCTCAACCGGAAACAGACCAAAATAGTGTTTAGCGGTTCTGGCTCTATTCTTTCCATCTTCGTAAATTCACAGGAAAGATTTCTCGAAGGAATGACTACATACGTGATTGCAGCAGAGATGTCACTTATAATGATAGACTCAATACACTTTATCCAACTTGTGCAAAATTATCTCCAACCCAAGTATACTTCTTATTGTAGAAATAATTTTCGTTCAGATACTATAAAATTATATAAAAAAAGAAAACAAATTGCTCTTGAACAACTAAAAACTTTTAATAATGTTATATCGTTTATGATGTGAACCCGCGCTACCAAACCCACAACAAGATTGAAATCATCTCTAAGAAAGCTAAAGCAAGATTTTAGATTAAATTCAATAAGTTTGGAACTAAGCAACCCGAATCGCCGACTATGTATGGACCTCTTGATTACGCAAAGTTATATGAATCTCATCTGGTTGATTTGAATGCCACAAGATTGGATCTTGATAAATTCACGAGTTGTTAATAAAGAACAAGAGAGAAAATCAATAATGCCTCACAATTGTATTCATCCCCAAAGTATTTATACTAGACTTCTAAAACCTAGCAAAAAATGCGCATAATAATTTAGATATGGTAAGAAATCAACTAAACATGGAATTCTAGAAGAAATAGGAAATTTGAAAAAGAAAAAAAAAAAGAGTCCCAAATTTGATCTGTATGACCGCATAGAAGGAATATGCAGTTGCATAGAACACTCATGCTACTGCTCAAAATCCCTGTCGGTACTCATGCAACCGCATGCCAAGGACAACTATGTGTCCGCATAATTGTGACTTTTGGCTCCAACTTCGTCCGCTTTAATCATGTTGATCCAATTCACTTCGGCTCTTAACTCCAACATGAAACTTGTCCCATTTTGCATCCCAAACATGGTTTCATCAATAGTAGCCTTGACGAGCAATCCCATCACCCCTTTCGCTCATTTTGTCCTTGATTGCATCATCGGTCCATCGTTGACTATCAATGGATCTTTCCCCGGGCTTGACGTTGGACTTGACTTCGTTGCTTGCATCTCTTGGATTACATCATCTCCTCTTTCTTCAAAAGGATTCGTCCTCGAATCTGAACCTACAATAAAGGGAGAGAGATCAGGCACATTAAAAGTTGCTAAAACATTATATTCACCTGGAAGATCTAATTTGTATGCAATGTCATTAATCTTCTCAAGGACTTGAAACGGTTTATCTCCTCGTAGTTGCAACTTTGATTTTCTCTGCTCTGGAAATTGCTCTTTTCTGAAATGCACCAAAACCCAATCTCCAGGTTCAAAGGTAACATTCTTTCGGCCCTTGTTTGCTTGCATGGCATAATGCTTGCTCTTATTCTCAATTTGCTCTTTTACCTTCTCATGGAGTGACTTTACCAACTCGGCCTTCCACTTCCTACCCAAGCTACCTCGTTCATTCACAACCAATGATATTATATCCATAGGTATTATCGAATTAAAACCATAAACAATCTCAAATGGTGAAAATAATGTAGTAGAGTATGTGGCCCTATTATATGCAAACTCTATGAAAGATAAACACTCTTCCCAATTTTTCAAGTTCTTATTAACCACGGTGCGAAGTTATTGTGTCATAGTCCTATTCACTACTTCGGTTTGGCCGTCATTTGTGGGTGACAAGTTGTAGAAAATAATAATTTCGTGCCTAAGTTATTCCACAAGACTCTCCAAAAGTGACTAAGAAATTTGACATCCCTATCTAACACAATGCTCTTAGGTATCCCATGCAAACGCACAATTTCTTTAAAGAACAAGTCAGCAATATTAGTGGCATCGTTGGTTTTGTGACATGGAATAAAGTGTGCCATTTTACTAAACTTATCCACACCACAAAAATTGAATCCTGTCCCTTTTTAATCCTAGGCAAACCTAACACAAAATCCATTAGAATGTCTACCCAATGTTCACTAGGTACTGGCAAAGGTTATAAAGTCCATGAGGTAAGACCTTAGATTTAGCCATTTTACAAGTTATGCATCGACTACAAATCCGTTCCATATAACTTTCATTTTAGGCCAATAAAAGTGTTCAATATCTCCAAAGTCCTTGCTACTCCAAAGTGACTCATGAGTTCCCCACTATGTGCTTTCCTAACCAACGACTCATGCATAGAGCAATTAGGAACGCATAATTTATTTTCCCGAAACAAGTACCCCTCATGCTTAAAGAACTTATCTACAACCTCCTTATGACATAATTTGTAAATGTTGGAAAAATCAAGATCATTTTCATACATGTCCTTAATGTACTAAAAACCAAGTAATTTTGCACTCAAGGAAGTTAGAAGCACATACCTTCATGACAATGCATTTGCTACCACATTTTCCCTACCTTGTTTATAACGAATGACATATGGAAAAGTTTCTATAAATTTTATCTGGCGTGCATGTCGTTTGTTCAACTTACCTTGACTCGCAAAAGTTTCAATGACTGACGATCAGTATGAGTTACAAACTTCTTTGGCCATAGTTAATGTTGCTATATCTCCAAGGCTCGAACAAGTGAATATAGCTCATTGTAATAAGTAGGATAGTCGAGAGCTGCACCACTTAGCTTTTCACTAAAGTAGGCAATCGGTTTCTTATCCTGCATTAAGACTGATCCAGTACCTATTCCTGATGCATCACACTCAATCTCGAAAGTTTTTTCAAAGTTGGGAAGTGCTAAAACCATTGCTTTACACAAACAATCTTTGATAGTGTTGAATGCATGCTCTTGTTCTGTCCCCACTGAAATCCCACATTCTTTATGACAATGTCAGTTAGTGGTGTGGTAATTGTGCTAAAGTCTCTAACAAAACGCCTAAAAAACTAGCCAATCCATGAAAACTCCTAACCTCAGTTATGTAGTTATGTTTTTAGGTGTTGGCCAATCTTTGATAGCTTTTATTTTCTCTTCATCTACCTCTACACCATTAGCACTAGCCACAAAGCCTAGAAAGACAACTCTATCCATGCAAAATGTGCAATTTTTAAAATTGGTATAAAGTTGTTTTTTCTTCAAAACCACAAGCACACACCTCAAATATTCTATATACTCATTACGGTCCTTACTATAGATCAAAATATCATCAAAATAGAACACCACAAATTTTCCAATGAAAGCACGCAAAACATGGTTCATTAAGCGCATGAAGGTAGTCGGTGCATTTGTAAGCCGAAATGGCATGACTAACTATTCATACAACCCGTATTTAGTCTTAAAAGCCATTTGAAATCCATCACCCTCCCGCATGCGAATTTGATGATATCCACTTTTAATGTTAATTTTACTGAATATGCATGCATCATGTAGCTCATCTAACATGTGATCTAGCCTAGAAATTCGGTGGCGATACTTTACCGTGATGTTGTTGATGGCTCTACAATCCATGCACATCCTCCATGTTTCATCTTTCTTTGGCACCAACAGTACAGGTACAGGACATGGACTCATGTTTTCCCTTACATAACCTTGCTCATCAATTCCTCCACTCGCCTTTGAAGTTCCTCCCTCCTCTGGATTACTCCGATAATTTGGTCGGTTAGAAATGGCAGCTCCAGGTATGAAGTCAATTTGGTGTTCAATCCCTCTAATGGGTGGTAACCCATTAGACACATCCTCCGAAAATACATTTTCAAATTCCTGCAACAAAGAAATAGCTAAATTAGAGAGGGTGTGTTAGGCTCTTCAAAATTGAGGAGTGACTCTTGTAGACCAACAATATCATTTGTTGCTTTTCTACTATTGCCTTTTTCAATTCACTTCATATCGCAAAGAAATTTTGTTTCGACTTTTCTCTCCTCTCGGAAGACTCTCTTTCTTTTCTATCATGTGGCCCCACTCTCTTTTCCTCTCCATTGGCTATCTCATTATTTTCTCTCTTTTTCTCTAATTTTCTCACTCTCATTTCTTCTTTATTTTTCAGTTGAATTTGGTCTTCATATACTTGTGTCGGTGTTAATGGCGCAAGAGTAATAAATCTCCCATCCTTTACAAAGCTATACTTATGTTTACACCCATCATGTATTGCCTTCCTATCGTATTGCCATGGTCTCCCCAATAAGATATGCCCAACATTCATAAATACAATGTCACACATTACCTCATCATGATATTTACCAATGGAAAAATTAAATAACACTCTTTTTGTCACCTTGACTTCACCACATTCATTTAACCATTGTAATCTATAGGGCCTAGGATGTTTTAATAAGGTTAAACCCAATTTTTCCACCATATTAGTGCTAGCCATGTCAGTACAACTTCCACCATCAATTATTACACTACATACCTTGCCATTGACATGACACCGCGTGTGGAATATGTTTTCTTGATGTTGCTCCAAGTCATCCGCCTTGATTTGAGCGCTAAGAGCTCGCCTCGCGACCAACAGCTTACCACCAATTGTATACTCCGTGATTTCTTCTTTAGCAGCATCTTCCAACTCCTATATGTCTGCATAATCACTTTCACTTTTAGTTTCCACTTTCCCGCTATCTAGGAGAATCATTCTTTTCTTATTTGGGCATTAAGAAGCGATGTGCCCCATTCCCAAGCAGTGAAAACATTAGATGTCCTTGTTTCTTGATGGCTGGGATTCTCCTTTTGGTATGGCCCTGCTAGCACCTTCTTTTTTGCCTCTCAGTACTTTAGCTCTTCATCTTGCAATAGTCCCATCTCTTTTGTTATTTTCCCTCTTCGATTTCCAAGGAGGATTAGAACCCGAAGATCCAGATTGGTACTTTGCTGTCCTCTTTCATTTCAATTGCCTCTCTATCTTCATAGCCACATGTAACATGTCTTCAATTTTCACATAGTACTGTAACTCCACTACATTTGCAATGTCTCTGTTCAGTCCACTCAAAAATCAAGCCATAGTGGCTTCCCTATCCTTCTCTACATTCGCCCTAATCATTAGCATCTCTATCTCCTTATGGTAATCTTCTACACTTCTAGAGCCTTTATAGAGATTTTGAAGTTTTTGATAAAGCTCCCGATAATAGTGATTAGGTACAAATCTTTTCCGCATTATCGCTTTCAACTCTTTCCATGTATTGATAGGTCATCCCCATTTTCACCTTGTTGTCACCACTTGATCCCACCAAGTAATTGCATAATCTGTGAACTCAAGGATCGAAATTTTCATCTTTTTCTTCCCCACATAATTGTGACAATCAAAAATTAATTCTATCTTTTTCTCTCACTCCAAATATGCCTCCGAATCACTCATCCCTTTGAAAGAAGGAATGATCATTTTTATATTCCCCAAATTGCCATCCACCTCGTCTCCACCAAGGTTCTTACCTCTCCTATCTTGCCTAACTTCTCTATTTCTAGCTCTTCCAACCACCACATCCACAATAGCATCCTCATTTAACCCACTATCAACCTCAAAGTCATTATGTTCCTCCATCCTAAGTTCCAGCCTACCTTGTCTCTGTGCATTAGGACTGCCCTTTCATACATTAGCAGGTATTGGATTTAGCTTTTCCAACCGTGTGTCCTACCTATCCAACCGATCCTTCATGTCTCCAAACAACCTTTCAATTCTCCGCATCGAATTCTCTAGCATAGTAATTTGGTCATCAATCCTACCTAAATTTGATCCTTCTCTGTCTGACATCCTAAATCTAAATTTTTTTTCTACCTCATAAATTTCACTTGGAATTTACTCAATATGGCTTTTTCCCTCAATTGTTTTCACCACTCTACCATTTACCACTTGCTGCTTTACCAAGTGCTTCAAAGAACAAAATTGGAACTCAATCAAAAATTTGATCATGTGGAATCAAAATCGGATGTGAGTGAGATTTAGAAACCCGACAAGAAATTGGATTTTTTGACACTTCAAAGAAATAAAATAAAATAAATTGGACTCAAGAAGTAGCCAGTAAAATTTCGAGATCTAATACTTTTTTTTTTAGATTTGAATTCTTTAAATTCAAATTTTTTTAATACTGTACGGATGAACAGTATCGTACGTGAACAATATTTTTTATCGGCAAAGAAAAAGGAAGTTGATTTGGATGCTAAACTAGCCCAAAAAACAACTTCTGAAGTTTTGCCGAAAAATTTTTGGATCTAAGACCAATTGATGTGAACCATCGTAATCAGATCGCTACCAAACCCAAAACAAGATTGAAATTGTCCCCAAGAGAGCCAAAACAAGGTTTTGGATTAAATTCAATAAGTTTGGAACCAAGCAACCTTAATCGTCGACGATGTTCAGACCTCTTGATTACGCAAAGTTATATGAACCTCACCTGGTTGATTTGAACGACACAAGATTGGATCTTGATCAGTTCAAAAGTTGTTCAATGAAGAATGAAAGAGAAAAGCAATAATGCCTCACAATTGTATTCAATAATCAAAAGTTGTAAATTAATGAAAATCCCAAAAGTATTTATACTAGACTCCTAAAATCTAGCAAAAAATGTGCATAATAATTTAAATATGGTAAGAAATCAACTAAACATGGAATTCTAGTAGAAATAGAAAATTTCCAAAAAAATACAAATAAAAATAAAAACGTGTCCCAGATTTGTTAGAACACTCGTACAACTACCTCAAAATCCCTGTCGGTGCTCATGCAACCGCGTGGCAAGGACAACTATATAGCCGCATAGTTGTAACTTTTGGTTCCAACTTCGTCTGCTTTAATCATGTTGATCTAATTTTCTTTGGCTCTTGACTCCAACATGAAACTTATCCAATTTTGCATCTTGAGCATGGTTTCATCAATAGTAGCCTTGATGAGCAACCCCATCGCCCCTTTACTCATTTTGCCCTCGATCGCGTCATCGGTTCACTGTTGACTATCAATGGATCTTTCCCTGGGTTTGAAATTAGACTTGACTTTGTTGTTTGCGTCTCCTAGATCACATCAGTTTACCTCTAATTTATGGATCGATGGTACTAAAAGAAAGATATAACTCTTGAAGGAGACAACACCTACTTAACAAGTGAAGACTTGTCACTTTAACCTCTAATTCCTTCAACCTTAAGCCTCCAACACGTCTTATAAGTACTTAGCACTTTACACAAGATAGATATAACTCTTCTAAGTCACATATGGCTCCATATAGTGCAAGGGAGAAGTCAAAGTTGGCTGAAGAAGCCATCTCCTACTTAGACAGCTCAGGCTAGGAGACTTATCACTTTAATATATAATTGCTTCAAGCTTGAGGCCTCCAGCACATCTTCTAAATCCTTAGAACTTTATATGGGATACATATGCATCTTCTAAGTCACAAATGACTCCATATATGGTAGGAGAAAAGTCAATTTTGGCTGCAAGGAGCCACATCCTGCCTGGACACCTCATGCTTGGGGAATACTTGTCTTGTAATCACAAATTCCTTCACATATAAGTATCACTCACGACGCCAATCCTTAAGACTCCTTAAATAGCTCCTAAATAAGAGATTTGATACTGCAAAAATAACCCCAAGTGGACGTGAAAGCAAAGGAAGCAAAAAGGGGTAGAAAACAAGAACCTGCAATTGCAATTTGAGGAGATGAGTTTAAGTTACGGTTTTGAAGCTTCTCTTTAGTTCTTTTGGGATATTTTTAATCTATTAAAACTCTGAACTTGCTTGAGATTAAGTAGAAGGATTTTTGACAATTTTATGATGGCAAAAATGGAAGCAATTAACTACACAAAACTTAGAACAAGACAACTTGGACATGCAGAGAAATGGTTGCCAGATTTACATGGTTTAAACTTTGATTTTGTATAATACGCAAGATATATCTTTGTAAATGAATATTGTTATATGAGAGTTGGAAGAATATAAATGGTCTCCTAATAGCCTGGAATCTGATTGGTGACATGCTAATAAAATGGGAACCAAAAACAGTCACAAGAAAAGAAAACTGCCTGATTTGGTGTGGTGAAAAAGGGATGATTTTTGAGGCTGAAAACACTTTATTTGTCACAACTTTAGATCATGATTACCTTCACATACATGTTATAGAAGTGTGGTAAAAATTTGGGAGTCGTTGGATATAGCTAAGGAGGTGAAAAAGGATTGGAAAAATAATTGGACGGTAATAGAAATCTGAAAACAGATTCTACCATTTGTGTTTTTAAGGTGATTTCAACATTTACATATCCATTAATTATCTCTTCACTCTAGAAAATAGATTCTAATGAGTACTAGATTTTCGACAACAATTGAATGACTTTGACGTTCATAATTGGACTCGAAAAATAGCAAGACTTATAGGATTAGTTTGTAATGCCATCGGTAACTTTAAATAATGATTTCGTCTAAAGTGTTTTGGCGTGAATGGATGTATTTTGGGATTGTGTGTGTTAAGGTCATTAAATGGAGGATTATCTTTAATATTAGATGGTAATACAGGTGATTTTTCGACGTTGAGCGAAAAAGGAAATTGATATACACTCCGTAGAAATTTGCACACACAAGGTAAGTAAAAAATTATTTCCAACTACGATGCAAGAACCTAGTATTTGTGATATGGTAATGTTGGATTATTACATAACTTTGATAAGAGGCTTATAGCACATCATATGATGGTTATGATCATGGAGTATGAGGTTGTAGAACCTATCGACATCGATTTTCATTAAATATGTCATTCATGAACATTTTCATATGCATGCAAGACATGTGATAATGGTTGAAAACTCTGCATGTGAAACATGATTTCAAAGTGAGTTTTCTTTATAAATGTTTTATTGACCACTATTAGAGCACCGAGGCATGTGAGGTATGCTCATGTGATATGTTTGGCATCGCGGGTGATACTTCTTGAGTGATTGCAAAGGTAGACAGGGGATGGACCTTTGGTGATCATGGGAGGGTGGACCACTCGATTGTGCCCTTGTGATATTATGGTTATTGGCACTGTCGGGTGGGAGACTTTTTGGGTGATCATAGGGGTAGTTAGGGGATGGGCCTCTCGTGGTCATGAGAGGATGGTCCACTCGTCGGTGTCGATTTCATATTGACCATTTGATTATTGATATTGATATTATGAAGAGCTCTATCAGGTGCATAATAAGTGGGTCAATGATCCAATTAAATGAAAGGTTTCAAATGAAATGATTTCGAGTCGACTTTGATGAATATTGGAATATGATGCTTCCTTATCGTGATATTTAAAGTAAATGGTATAGTCGCATATATCGTTATTATTCATATTCATGATATGCATGATTTTGCTTACTAAGTATTGGCTTATGTAGTTCTTGCATTATAGGTGAGCCTAGAACTACATGGAGAGCATGGCTAGCTATGGAGCTCTTATGGAATTTCAGAGTTCGATGTACATGGATGACGACCTGTAGGGTTATTTTGTGGGTTGTTATTTCAAGCTTATGCTCTATTGTGTTATATGTTGGGAATCATGTGTTGTATATCTTTTGACATGGCCTGTAGACATGTTTATAACCTCAGAATATATATGTTGGATTATGGTGATATGATTTTGGTTTCGATATAATATATGATCGTCATAGGTGATTAAAAGTTAACAAATAAGGACATACTCTTGAAAATGCCTATGTGGTTTTGTCAGGTGAAAAAAAAAATTATTTGGAATTCTATGTCTAGGATGAGTCATCAATTTCATTTCCACACAGGGTAATGTAAAATTATCTATATAAAAGGGGTTGTGACACGACAGGCTGCCAATATCATCACATCTTCTCCCTTTCGATCCACACTCTATCACAGAGTTTACATTTCAGATCAACTTCAATATATACTTGCGCTTCACTAGGTTGTCGAAGATCTGAGGTAGCTTCATCAATGCGAAGCGGTAGCCCAATAGCTTTAGTTATGGCAAAAGTGCACTCTTAGCCTGAAAGTGAATAGGTAGCAAAAGTAATGAGACCCAAATAGGAACAATACGAATCCCATGCTATGGACTAAAACTAGAGGTCTATTTGAAAACCTGCATGGGACAACCATCAATATACTAAGTGGGTTTGAGGAATAATCCTGAGTAATCATCCTCACGCATCGTATGAATAATAATGTATGCATCATAAATGCATCC